TATAAAAGCAATAAACTCTCAAGATTGTAAGAAGACTTATAAGGCTTTCCTCAAATCTACCGGATGATTGAATTCAACTAACCAAGAAGTAAATCAAGATAATTCAGAAACGGTAAAAGAATTGGCAGTGAGCTTTGAGAGGACAGAATAAAGGACTAAAAATAGTGATTACTAAAATGTATGTAAATGTTTTAAACTTTGACAAAATAAATAATAGTAAGATACCAACAATGTCAGAACTTGGTGAGAAGAAGAAGAAAGCATAAGTTGCTGTTTTCCTTATCTTTTATAACAGGAGTCAATGGACACTGCCAAAAGTTGAAATACCACTTTAAAAAATTGAAAATATCAACCTTTTACTTTTTTTCTATACTTAGAGGGGTCTTTTAGAAACTGAAATACATTGTTGTGAATAAATATCTATGTAAAATTCATTTATTCCTTCCATTTTATCTATTTCTTTTTTCTCTTAGAACATAAAATAAACATATATAAAAAACATATGATTCTGCTTTGTAAATTTTATTCTGTGCCTAACTGGCATATCTGTAGACAAAAATATCAGGCTTGATGTTTAACAGGTGCTAACAAATGTCAATTCTGGATGGTAAGATTGAGGTAACTTTAAATAATGCTTGAGTTTTATCTTTTTTTTTTTTTCCAGCCATGCCATGTGGTTTACAGGATCTTAGTTCCCCCAACCAGGGATTGAACCCAGGCCCACAGCAGTACGATAAAAAATTTATCATTGTACAATATTTTTCTGTCATGTATTTTTATCAGCTATAAATTATTATTGTAAACTATTCTAATGCTTTTTTCAAGAATGTTTCTAAAATTTGCATTCACTTTTTATCTAGGCAATATGATCATACAGTGATTTTAATGTATTTTTCTATATCTGTTAAAGATTGTGAATCTTTTTATATCATGAATTATAATTTTTAACTTATTAATTATGCTTCATCCCTCAGTAGGCTGATTTAATGTTCCCCAGAATGGTATAGGGTGTTATATTGTATGGTAAAATAAAGAAAAGAGATATGTATGTGTATGTAACATCTAATACATGGAAGAATTCCAAGTGCAAAGAAACCACAGTTCACATACAAGAAATGGAAACCAAAGAAAACAGTATAAAATGTAGAGAATATCAAAGAAGCTGAAAATTGACAAAATACATAGAATGTAACAATTTTAAATGGGTCTCCAAAATGGGTTGAAAAATCCAATCAAATTCTTTTTATAAGAAATACACCCAAAATAAAGTTACAGGTTAAAAAAGCATAGACAATAGCATACCAATAATTAATAACAAAGTGAACTCAAAGCAAACAAAACAAAACAAAGAAGCAAGAAAACATTAAATGAAAGCACAAGAAAAGGTCACTTTATACTGGCAACATTTTTTAAACTAACCAAAAAAATAAATAACTATCATAAACATAAGTTGAATAATTAGAACTAGAATATATAAATCAAAAATACTTAGATATTCAACAAAAAATTGACAGAAAAATATAGTAATGAAAGACAAACATTCCACTGCTGATTAACAGATTAACAGAGGAAAATATCAATAACAATGCACAAGCTCTGAAAATCATAATTTATGCTCTACCCTACTTCCAAGAATATTTACAAATATTATGGGGAGTATTAAGCCACAAAGGAAACCCTTAAAAATATAACATAGCAGCAAGTGTATATATAGGCCAACATTCTCTTTCTACAAAGCACAAAAGAAAAAAAAGACAAATTAACAGCAAACGTTAAACTAAAAGAAAGAAAAAGTCACTTTGAAATTTAAGAACTCTCCTAATAAATATGTCTTCAAAGAAACAATATCCTTCCATCTATGAGTCTCAATTTTTTCATATTTAAAAAAAACTTTAAAGGCTCTTATGAGGTCTTTCTAGCCACCCCTCACCCTGACACACACAAACCACAATGATTTTCATGTATCTACCGAGCATATACCATATGTTCAGCTTTCTGACTGATTATTCAATGTGATATGCAAAAGTAGAACAGGTACTTATATTAAAACAGTGTATGATCAAATTGGGGAGTTAGAAAAAGCAAAGAACAGTCACCAACATACTATAAATATTATAGAAATTCAAAGAAGGAGATCAGGGTAGAGAGGGAAGGCTTATTTATGTGACTTGTTAGGACTCGAAGATGGAAGAAATCTGAAAATCCAGAGAAGAAATGGGGAGAACATTCTGGTCAAGAATACTATATAAATGAAGACTAAAGAATAAAATATTAATATTTAATAAAATATTAAATACTGACAGTTATAAAAAGTTACTATAGTGAATATAGCCTAGGAAGAAAAACACCGTAGTCCTAGACCAAATGGTTTATACTAAAAAATGAGCTGTAACGAGATTTTAAAGTACAATGGCTGTGGCTGCCAGCTAAAGTTTGGAAAGGCTCCCATCACTTTGAATGTCCATTCAAACAGACTTCTACTTTTAGGTGTATTTCATATCTCTAGAGAGAATAACGTTACCGATAAACAATGATCTTTATTTGCCGTTTGGGAAACTAACTATAGCAGAGGTAAGATACTCCGCCAGGCTTCCATAGCTACTTTGTGCAATGAGAGGAAAACAGTAATAGCTAAGAATTTAAAGAACATTATCACATTCGGGATCTTCTGATTCTGTAAACTGTATATTTATTTCACATTCCTATAGTCTAACACACAAAAATTAAAATAATTAGACTAAAAACATTCTAATCAAGAATGCCATTTACCCTGAAAAGAAAGAAGGAAACCCAGACAGATTTAAAACTGGTTTATAATAAACAAGGTAGAGAGGACTAGGACTGCCAACTGGGAGGGAGTGGGAGGAAATAAAGCATCGTAGTTTCTGAAGAAAAGGCTGCTATTAAGTATAATTGCACCAACTTGATCCAAATCCAATATTTCTTATTCATTGAAAAGAAACATATTAAAATAGCAGCAATTTCCTTTACAAATAAACACATGCAGCCAAGGAAGCTTCTACCAAAAAAGTTTAACCCTAAAGGTAATAAAAAGCAGGAGTGACATTATTTCAGTGCTCTAACTTCAAATATTAACTTCTAAATACAAATATGCTATAGTTAAGTCAGTAATAAATTTGTTTGATTCTACTAAAAGTTACAATGAAATTCCTTCAAACACTCTAATCCTATATTTTTACGTTAAAGTGCATAAAAATAAGAAAAATCTTCCAATGAATAATTAGAAATTATTGCTATATGTTAACCGTGGAAATCATTAATGGTAATATTTGCACTTATTTATAATTATGATCTTTATGAGAAATAGGAAGTTTCACTTACAAGTACCTATATTTAGGTGTGTCAGGCTAATTTTGAATATAAGCATCTTGCTGCACACTATATAGAAATTTGACTTTTTATTCAAGGTACTTTCAGTTACTATTTGTCCCTTGACTTGTAAGTTGCATCTGGACCAGAAACTATAAATTAACCATAAGTATCTTCTGGCAAGCCATATCTCTGAGCTTCTCTATGAGTATGGTGACTCTTAAAATAGACATATCCCTTGTAAATAATATATCTGTAATATAAGTATTTCAACTAAATGATCTCAATAAGTTCTTTCTGTCTATCACTCTCCCATGCCCCACATACATACAAAAACCACAATGACTTTTTAGTATTTAAAGATACTGGCTCCTGAGGGGCATGAAGACTCTAAGCCATGATGGGCTGCATACCCACCAGTGTGAATCTGTCTTCTTGCACCTAAGCTGTCACTTGGGGGGCCAAAGAGAACAGCTCTTGGATGGATATATGGACCGCTGCAAGAATTACTCTCCCAAAAGAGAATTACTTGATGTTGCCCTGCTGGCAAGATATTTTTCCTGTTCTAAATCCTTATAAGTAAATCTGATATAAAATGTCTGGTGAGTCTGAGTGTTTGGTTGAACTTAAAAGACCATCTGGTGGACTTTACAAAAGCTAACTCAAAATTTAAAATTTTTCTTCAGATACAAAGTAACTTTAATTTGTGTTAAGTGCCCAGCAACTATAATTATAGTATTGTAATTATAGTATTTTCTCATAAATATGAAAAGCAATTTCTTTTTAAAATATTCATTGTTTTCATTTTTCCAACATCTAAGCTTCAGATTAACCATTAATGCAAATATGAATGCCTTTCATTGAGCCTCAACAATAATATTCCACATTCAACCTCTTAAATTGGGGGGATTAGCCACATTGATCAGATGCTATAGGCATCACTGAAGAATTCTACATACGGTTTTTAAATGTTCAATAAAATGATCTAAATAAGCAGAATTGAATAGATCTGGGGATACATGAAGCTTTATAGAAAGTTGTTTTTCTATACATTTATTGAGATTTTCAATTCCTAAACATAATCTGAGATGCTAAAGAGTTTGTCAAGATCTTGCCTCATATACTGACAAACTAGAAAAATTACACAGTTAGATATCTATTTCTCTCATTTTTGATAAATTTTGTAAAGTTAATGTTAACACACGAATTTTGTCTTTCATTTAAATGCAAAAAGGCTCTATTTAAAATCTAAACTGTCCTGAACACATAATCATTAGCAATTCTGCACCGTTTGACATAATAAGTTCTGAAACAAATTTTGAAGTGTAACATTCTCACAGTCAACAATAAGTGATATCTAAATGGGATCCATTAAGTGCTTGAAGAAATCCTTTTCTATTTTAAAGAAAATAATCTATCAGGTAAACTATTTTCTTGAAATCTTGAATTTATAAAGAATATCTTGTTAGAGATTCTAGATAAAAATGATTAAAGGTGCTAATTAAGGGGTTTTTATATCCTTCTTTACCAATAAAATTTATATTTTAAATTATCTCCATTGCAGACATTCAATGTCACTTGTCATTTTTTAATAAAATCATTTGCCATAAAACTTCTAGTGAATTCCTTAAGATACTCTTTTAAAAAAACTGTTAAATTAAACCACTTACTGTAAACAGCCCACTCTTACTGCTACAGGAATGTGGGGAAGTTGAGTGGCCCACTTCAATGTCACATCCTGATAAATATGCAACATGTTATTATGGTTTCCAATCAAAGTATTTATTGTTCCTTCAGAAACTATGGGTTGAAGACAGAAAAAGAGGATAATAAGAAAACAATCATTTCCAACAGTATATTATATCCCTTTTAGAGGACTTATGATACAAATTAATTCTAATGTCTTGACTTAATGCATAAAGATTTTAAGTAATAAAACATTATTTTTCAACTACAAGCTACCAATATCAAAAAGAAAAAAAATCATTTTATAAGTATATAAAAACTACATATATAACTATAAAAACTGTAACCAGATAGTGGCCAACATTTTTGTATTTTATCCAGAAAGCATGAACTTGATTAATATTTAACACATTTAAGCTAATATTTACTAGACATTCACTACAGACAAATAATTCTATTAGGCATTACTATGCTCCATTCTGCTTGTAAAAGAGTCTGATGTTCTCTTAGAAGCATCTTGAACAGCCACATCTTGGAAAGCATTAATGCATACCTGAGGCCAATTCTACAAGTCATTTTGTATGAAGTAAAATAACTGACAAAACCAAATGTGTGCTTTATATCACACTTCTATTCAAACTTTAAAAGTTAAAATTTCCATTACATGTGCTGTATAAAACTATTTTCCTAAATGTTTAAAATATATGTGAGTGATTTGGGCTTTTTTTGGTGTAAAAAATATAGTCATGACATATGGAAGAGATACAAGAAAATCTTTCTACACACCTGAGCAATATGGGAGAAAACAACTTGGGCTACAATCAAGTTTCTTCATAAATCGAATTTGTCCATTATCCTTAAGGCAAAAAAAGTTTCTCTCACCAAGAACAAAAACAGAAGATGCTGACTGATTGAAAGAAACAATACATATATCAAGGGCTTGCTCTCCAATATTTAGAGTCCAATCCACCTGCAAAGGAAAAATTATGATCAATTTAGTTGCTAAAAACAGAACATTTTAGTCACTGTCATATCAATACAATTAAGAAATGCTTTACAACAACGCAGGCATAAAGATTGGCTAACCTTGGGCTTCCTTGATGGCGCAGTGGTTAAGAATCTGCCTGACAATGCAGAGGACACAGGTTCAACTCCTGGTCCAGGAAGATCCCACACGCCATGAAGCAACTAAGCCCGTGCACCACAACTACTGAGCCTGCGCTCTAGAGCCCATGAGCCACGACTACTGAACCCGTGTACCACAAATACTGAAGCCCACGTGCCTAGAGCCTGTGCTCCTCAACAAAACAAGCCACCACAATGAGAAGCCTGCGCATTTCAACGAAGAGTAGCCCCCACTCACCACAACTACAAAAAGCCCGCATGCAGCAACAAAGACACAACAGAGCCAAAAATAAATAAACAAAATAAATAAATTTTTTTAAAAATTTAAAAAAAAAAGATTGGCTAACCTTCATTCACTTTTTTTTTCCTATGACCTTATTTCTGATATTTTGTAGACTCTAATAGTTTTTGCCCCATCTTTTACCAAATGATATTAGCTATTCAGTGGTTCAAAAACACTCAGATAAGTTTAATCAAGGAGGTGAAGATCTGTGCATCAAAAACTATAAAACATTGGTGAAAGAAATTGAAGAGCACAGATAAATGGAAAGATATTCCATGTTCATGGATTAGAAGAATTAATATTATTAAAATGTCCCTACTACCCAAGGTGATCTACAGATTCAAATCCCTATCAAAATTCCAATGACATTTTTCACAGAAATAGAAAAAAAATGTAAATTCATATGAACCCACAAGACTCCAAATAGCCAAAGCAATCTTGAGCAAAAAGAACAAAGCTGGAAGCATCATACTACCTGATTTCAAAATATACTACAAAACTACAGCATGGAACTGGCATAAAAAACAAACATCTAGACCAGTGGAACAGAATAGGGAGCCAAGAAATAAAACTCTGCATTTACAGTCAACTCATCTTTGACAAAGGTACCAAGAACACACAATGCAAGATGGTACAGTCTCTTCAAAAAATGGTGTTGGGAAAACTTGATATCCACATGCAGAGAAATGAAAATGAACCCCTATCTCATACCATACACAAAAATCAATTCAAAATGGCTTAAAGACTCAAACATAAGAACTGAAACTGCAAAATTATTGGAAGAAAACATAGGGAAAAGCTCAATGATTTTTTTGGATATGACCTCAAAAGCACAGGCAACAGTATTAAAATAGACAAAAGGGATTTCATCAAACTAAAAAGCTTCTGCAGGGAAAAAAAAAAAAAAGGTCATTATGGGATGATATGAAATCATGTGTGTGAAACTTTTGAAAATTGTAAAGCATTATAGAATTTAAAGTCTTTTATTCAATAAAAAAAATATTTTTAAAGCTCTGCACAGCAAAGGAAACAATCAATTGTGTGAAGAGTCAATCTATGAAATGGAAAAAAATATATCCATATAGCCAGTAAGGAGTTAATATACAAAAATATATAAGAAACTCAGACAGCTCAATAGCAAGAAAACAAATATCTGATTTTAAAATGGGCAAAAGACCTAAATAGACATTTCTCAAAATAAGACATACAAATGGCCAACAGGTATATTAAAAAATGCTCACCACCACTAATCATCAGGGAAATGCAATGTGAGATGGAATGCACAAAATTATGTGGATAAAGAGGAAGTAAGATTGCCCTCAAAGTTAGGCTTTGAGGCAAGAATCAACAAATAAAAGTTCAAAGAAGAGATATGAAAAGTCACATTAAAGATAGGTAGATATATAGATAGATAGATAGATAGATAGATAGATAGATAGATAGATAGACAGACAGATAGATAGATGGACTTCCCTGGTGGTGCAGTGGTTAAGAATCCGCCTGCCAATGCATGGGACACAGTTTTGATCCATGGTCCGGGAAGATCCCACATGCTGCAGAGCAACTAAGCCCACACACCACAACTACTGAGCCTGTGTGCTGCAACTACTGAAGCCCGCGTGCTCTAGGGCCCACGTGCCGCAACTACTGAGCCCTCATGCTGCAACTACTGAAGCCTGCGCACCTAGAGCCCATGCTGCACAGCAAGAGAAGCCACTGAAATGAGAAGCCTGCGCACCACAACAAAGAGTAGCCCCCCACTTGCCACAACTAGAGAAAGCCCACATGCAGCAACGAAGACCCAAAGCAGCCAAAAAATAAAATTTTTTTATATATATATATATATAAATTTCATGCCATCCAGAAATGATTTAGGTATTAATCTGTCTACTTTAGGATTAAAATATCTGAAGAAGGTATGAAATCCAAATGGGGCTAGCCAGAGAGGCAAATATAATCAGTGTGTATATAAGAACAATCTGGAATAGGGAGACAGCATAGTGAATATAGGTAGATGCATCAGATTATCTTCATCTAAATTCAGATTCAACACCAAGAAATCATTCAATTGCCACTTAGTTCAAGTGTAGTTTACCTATATGAAAAGATTCTACTGGACACAAGACATGAACATCAGTCCTAAGGCAGTTAATATTTCTCATTACAATATAATAGGCTAGCATTCTAGCATTACTTTTCAGTGCTTGTAACTCAGGCTGATGTGTCCCTGACTCTGAGAGATGACGATTCATTCAGAGTGGATAGGCAAAGTTTCTGAGGCCACAGGCCAAGATCCTGCCACTAAATACTTTCAGTTCACTAGGTACTGAGTGACACTCTTTGTAACCTGTCCTTAGGGAAATATACCACATTCTAAATTAGTGAGTCTCAAAATGCACAGAAGTTTACTAAGAACAATCATTTAAAATTTCTTCCATCTCCAGCCGTCATAGAGTAATAGGAAAAAAATCTACCATCCATCTGAAACAAACACAACACAGACAAAATGTATGAAACAACCATTTGCAAGGCACTGGATATCAGAAAACAAAGGACAGCAATCCGCTTAAAAACAGAAAATAAATGAGGTGAATGGTAAAATTGCTCCTGCCATGAGAGAGTTTTCAGGCCATGGCACAGGGAGAAACAACCCAGGCAAAGCCCAACAGACTCCCTGAGTTGAGGAGATGTATGATAAGAGTTCAGAAAAACCAAGGCAGCTAGAGTGCATAAGACAGCATGACAAAGAAAGGGAGCAGCACAGGGACAGAACTCTGAGATCTGTAAAGAATCCTCTCAAGTATTCAGCTGAGTACTTATCAGCACATTCATGTAGAAAACTACTCAAAGCCAGGGAAAGAACCACTCAAAAGGATTAGCGGTAACAGTGCCCAGCATTCACAAAGGGCCTGGAATACTGCCAGTGCCCGCCAGCCAGACTGGAACACCTCATAATTCAAAGGGAGGTGGATAGAGCACTCAAAGGGTATTACCTCAGGAGTAGGGAATAAGTAGCCCCAGAATGAGCACTGCTCTGGTCCCACCTAACAAGACTTAAAAGCAAGAGCCAAAAAGATCAAACTGTTTCCAACTAACTTAACTGTCTCCCAGGCCTAAGCGCAAGAAGATTTATAGAAACACAAAAATATCTAGCACCCAACAAAGTAAAATTGACTATATCCTGGCATCTAATAAAAAATTACCAAGCATGTAAAGAAAAAGGAAAATGTGATCCATGATGTGGAGATAAATAAATAAACTGAAATTCACTCAAAATTGATACAGACTCTTTTTTGTGGTGCCTCAGAGGCGGTCGGCCACTTCAGAATGAAGCTGAACATCTCTTTCCCAGCCACTGGCTGCCAGAAACTCATTGAAGTGGACGATGAACGAAAACTTCATACCTTTTATGAGACGCGTATGGCCACAGAAGTTGCTGCTGACGCTCCGGGAGAAGAATGGAAGGGTTACATGGTCCGAATCAGTGGTGGAAACGACAAACAGGGTTTCCCCGTGAAACAGGGTGTTTTGACCCATGGCCAAGTCCACCTGCTACTGAGTAAGGGGCATTCTTGTTACAGACCAAGGAGGACTGGAGAAAGAAAGGGCAAATCTGCATGGGGTTGCATTGTAGATGCCAATCTGAGAGTTCTCAATTTGGTCATCGATAAAAAAGGGGAGAAGGATATTCCTGGACTCACTGATACTACTGTGCCTCATCGCCTGGGGCTCCAAAGAGCTAGCAGAATCCGCAAACTTTTCAATCTCTCTAAAGAAGATGATGTCCACCAATATGTTGTGAGAAAGCACCTAAACAAAGAAGGTAAGAAACCTAGGACCAAAGCACCCAAGATTCAGCATCTTGTTACTCCACGTGTTCTGCAAGACAAACATCGGTATATTGCTCTGAAGAAACAGTGTACTATGAAAAATAAGGAAGAGGCTGCAGAATATGCTAAACTTTGGGCCAGGAGGATGAAGGAGGCCAAAGAAAAACACCAGGAACAGATTGCCAAGAGTTGGAGGCTGTCCTCTCTGAAAGCTTCTACTTCTAAGTCTGAGTCCAGTCAAAAATGAGATGTTCTAAGAGTAACAAATAAATAAGATCAGACATAAAAAAAAAAAGATATAGATGTTAGAATTAGAAAACAAGGACATTAAAACAATTATTATAACTATATTCTTTATCTTTAAAAAGTTAAGTAGATACATGGAAGATATTTTTTAAATCACCCGAAGTGAACTTGTAGAGATAGAAGCTCTACCAGATGGGAATTAATACCAGATTAGACACTGTAGAAAGAATATTAGTGACCTTGAAAACATAGCAGTAGAAATTATCCAAAATGAAATAGAAAAAAAGAATTTTTGAAAAGAAAAAGAAAATCTGTGACCTGTAGGGTAACTTCAAGTACCCTAAATGTATGTGTAATTGAGAGGACAGGAGAAAAGATGGAGAACAGAAAAATATATATGAAGAATTAATAGCTAAAAATTTTCTAAATTTCATATAAATTCACTGATATACGAAGTTCAACAAATCTTAAGCATCAAAAAAGGAA